AAATGACCAAACCACCTCAACAACCCCTCTTCAGCCCTCTGACTAATACTTTTATTAACTCCACACCTCCTAATTTCCACACTCCGAACTTTCTACATAATATTTACACCACACATTGCCCTTAGACAGGACATCTCCACTACCTCCAACCACCTCCTTGCTGCTGCATTCACAACCCAAGCTTCACACCCATATAAGAGTGTTGGTACTGCTATATTTTCATACATTCCCTTCTTTGCCTCCATAGATAACGTTTTTTTTTTTGTCTCCACATGTACCTCAACGAACCACTTGCCTTTTTTCCCTCATCAATTCTATGATTAACCTCATTCTTCATAAATCCATCCGCTGACACGTCAACTCCCAAGTATCTGAAAACATTCACTTCTTCCATACTACTACTCCCCAATTTGATACCCAATTTTTCTTTATCTAAATCATTTGGTACTCTCATCACCTTACTCTTTTCTATGTTAACTTTCAACTTTCTACCTTTACACACACTCCCAAACTCATCCACTAACCTTTGCAATTTTTCTTTAGAATCTCCCATAAGCACAGTATCATCAGCAAAAAGCAACTGTGTCAATTCCCATTTTGTATTTGATTCCCCATAATTTAATCCCACCCCTCTCTCGAACACCCTAGCATTTACTTCTTTTACAACCCCATCTATAAATATATTAAACAACCATGGTGACATTACACATCCCTGTCTAAGACCTACTTTTACCGGAAAGTAGTGTTCCTCTCTTCTACACACCCTAACCTGAGCCTCACTATCCTCATAAAAACTCTTTACAGCATTTAATAACTTACCACCTATTCCATATACTTGCAACATCTGCCACATTGCTCCTCTATCCACTCTATCATATGCCTTTTCTAAATCCATAAATGCAATAAAAACTTCCCTACCTTTATCTAAATAAATACTGTTCACATATATGCTTCAATGTAAACACTTGATCTACACATCCCCTACCCATTCTGAAACCTCCTTGCTCATCCGCAATCCTACTTTCTGTTTTTTTTTTTTTTTTATTATCACACTGGCCGATTCCGACCAAGGCAGGGTGGCCCGAAAAAGAAAAACTTTCACCATCATTCGCTCCATCACTGTCTTGCCAGAAGGGTGCTTTACACTACAGTTTTTAAACTGCAACATTAACACCCCTCCTTCAGAGTGCAGGCACTGTACTTCCCATCTCCAGGACTCAAGTCCGGCCTGCCGGTTTCCCTGAACCCCTTCATAAATGTTACTTTGCTCACACTCCAACAGCACGTCAAGTATTAAAAACCATTTGTCTCCATTCACTCCTATCAAACACGCTCACGCATACCTGCTGGAAGTCCAAGCCCCTCGCACACAAAACCTCCTTTACCCCCTCTCGCCAACTTTCTGTCTTACCTCTAATTCTTTCAATTATAACCCTACCGTACACTTTTCCTGGTATACTCAGTAAACTTACTCCTCTATAATTTTTACAATCTCTTTTGTCCCCCTTCCCTTTATATAAAGGGACTATACATGCTCTCTGCCAATCCCTAGGTACCTTCCCCTCTTTCATACCTTTATTAAACAAAAATACCAACCACTCCAACACTATATCCCCCCCTGCTTTTAACATTTCTGTCATGATCCTGTCAGTTTCAGCTGCTTTAACCCCTTTCATTCTACGTAATGCCTCACTCACCTGTCCCACACTCACATCCTGTTCTTCTTCACTCCTAAAAGATGGTATACCTCCCTGGCCAGTCCATGAAATTACTGCTTCCCTTTCTTCGTCGACATTTAAAAGTTCCTCAAAATATTCTCGGCATCTACCCAAAACCTCCATCTCCCCATCTACTAACTCCCCTACTCTGTTTTTAACTGACAAATCCATTCGTTCTCTAGGCTTTCTTAACTTGTTTAACTCCAAAAATTTTTCTTATTTTCATTAAAATTTCTTGAGAGTGCCTCTCCCACTCTATCATCTGCTTTTCTTTTGCACTCTCTCATCACTCTCTTTACCTTTCTTTTACTCTCCATATACTCTACTCTTCTTATAACGCTTCTGCTTTGTAAAAACCTCTTATAAGCTAACTTTTTCTCTCTTATCACACCCATTACTTCATCATTCCACCAGTCACTCCTCTTTCCTCCTGCACCCACCCTCCTATAACCACAAACTTCTGCCCCACATTCTAATACTGCATTTTTAAAACTATTCCAACCCTCTTCAACCCCCCACTACTCATACTTGCACCAGCCCACCTTTTTGCCAATAGTTGCTTATATCTCACCCGAGCTTCCTCATCCCTTAGTTTATACATTTTTACCTCCCTCTTGCTTGTTGTTGCCATTTTCCTCTTTTCCCATCTACCTCTTACTCTAACTGTAGCTACAACTAAATAATGATCCAATATATCAGTTGCCCCTCTATAAACATGTACATCCTGGAGCCTACCCATCATCCTTTTATCCACCAATACATAATCTAACAAACTACATTCATTATGTGCTATATCATACCTTGTATATTTATTTATCCTCTTTTTTCATAAAATATGTATTACTTATTACCAAACCTCTTTCTACACATAATTCAACTAAAGGCTCCCTATTTGCATTATAACTCAACTGAAGGCTCCCTATTTTCATTCACCCTTGCCACCTCAGATTTACTTACTACTCCCTCCACAACATTTTTGCCCACTTTAGCATTGAAATCCCCAACCACCATTACTCTCACACTTGGTTCAAAACTCCTCACACATTCACTCAACATTTCCCAAAATCTCTCTCTCTCCTCTACACTTCTCTGTTCTCCAGGTGCATATACGCTTACTCTAACCCACTTTTCACATCCTACCTTTATTTTACTTCACATAATCCTTGAATTAATACATTTATAGTTCCTCTTTTCCTGCATAGCTTATCCTTCAGCATTATTGCTACTCGGCTCACGAAATCATAATGACACGATTGCAGACAAACCATACCCAGTGGCTAACACGACGGTCTGGAGTTTTGAGGCTCTCTGATCACGGGTTCTATCCCCGCCCATGGTATGGTTTATTATTGCTACTTCTTCTTTAACTCTAACTCTGTTTGAAACCCCTGACCTAATCCCATGTATTCCTCTCCGCTGAAACTCTCCCACCCCCTTCGGCTTTGTTTCACTTAAAGCCAGGACATCCAGCTTCTTCTCATTCATAACATCTTCAGTCATCTCTCTCTTATCATTTGCACAAACATCCACGCACATTCAGACTTCCCACTTTGACAATTTTCTTCTTATTCTTTTTAGTAATTATTACAGGAAAAGGGGTTACTCGCCCATTGTTCCCGGCATTTTGTTTGACTTTTATAAAACGCATGGCTTACGGAGGAAAGATTCTTATTCCACTTCCCCATGGATATAAAAGGAAAAGTAATAAGACCAAGAACTATTAAGATAAAATCAAAGAAAACTCAGATCTTTCTTTCTTTCAACACACCAGCCGTATCCCACTGAGGCAGGGTGGCCCAAAAGGAAAAACGAAAGTTTCTCCTTTTACATTTAGTAATATAGTATACAGGAGAAGGGGTTACTAGCCCCTTGCTCCCGGCATTTTACTCGCCTCTTACGACACGCATGGCTTACGGAGGAAGAATTCTGTTCCACTTCCCCATGGAGATAAGAGGAAATAAACAAGAGCAAGAATTAGAAAGAAAATAGAAGATAACCCAGAGGGGTATGTATGTATATATATGCTTGTACATGTATGTGCAGTGTGACCTAAGTGTAAGTAGAAGTAGCAAGACGTACCTGAAACTTTGCATGTTCATGAGACACAAAAATGGACACCAGCAATCCTACCATCATGTAAAACTTTTACAGGCTTTCGTTTTACACTCACTTGGCAGGACGGTAGTACCTCTCTGGGTGGTTGCTGTCTACCAACCTACTACCTAGGAAAACTCAGATCTTCTTTCAACACACTAGCCGTATCCCACCGAGGCAGGGTGGCCCAAAAGGAAAAACGAAAGTTTCTCCTTTTACATTTAGTAATATATACAGGAGAATGGGTTACTAGCCCCTTGCTCCTGGCATTTTAGTTGCCTCTTACAACACGCATGGCTTACGGAGGAAGAATTCTGTTCCACTTCCTCATGGAGATGAGAGGAAATAAACAAGAACAAGAACTAGAAAGAAAATAGGAGAAAACCCAGAGGGGTGTATATATATATGCTTGTTCATGTATGTGTAGTGTGACCTATTTGTGAGTAGAAGTAGCAAGACATACCTGAAACCTTGCATGTTTATGAGACAGAAAAATGGACACCAGCAATCCTACCATCATGTAAAACAATTACAGGCTTACATTTTACACTCACTTGGCAGGACGGTAGTACCTCCCTGGGCGGTTACTGTCTACCAACCTACTACCTAGGAAAACTCAGATGAGTGCGTATAAATAAACATGTACATATATGTGTATTGTGACCTAAGTGTAAGTAGAAGTAGCAAGACGTACCTGTAATCTTGCATATTTATGAGACAGACAAAACACCAGCAATCCTACCATCACGTAAAACAATTACAGGCTTTTGTTTCACACTCACTTGGCAGGATGGTAATACCTCCCTTGGTGGTTGCTGTCTACCAACCTACTATCTATTCACGTTCATTATTTTTTGGCAGTGATACACACATCAGCTGACACTACCATTTTCTTATTCATTATTTGTACTTTTGCATTTTTTTTTAGGCTTGGCACTATTACACACATATCAGCATGTTATTAGACTTTTATGTGCACTAGCAAGTGAAAAAAAAGCTGCAATTTCTTTTACGGTGGTGGTCTGGAACCTAACCTGCCGTATTAGCAAGGTATGCCTGTATGTTCAAAACCAACAAGGCTAAAGAGCAAATGATCCATTGTTTGAAAAAAGAGAAATGAGGAACAATTGATGCCAAATATATTTAATGTTGGTAAGGCAACTTGAGAACTCTGATTCACATAAACAGGAAACAAGTGGTGTGCCAGTAACATCAAGTGGTGCAGTTGTTGGGGATACAGGTGCACTAGAAACCATGAGTGTTGTAGAGTCCTTGGTCAAGCTTGGTGAAAAGCAGCCCACAGAAAATGAGAATGGCGCTAGTGAAGAGGCAACTGAAGTAAGTGAAACTAAATATTCTTGTTTAAAATTTAAGATTTAATTATGGCCACTTCTAATAAAGTTGCATTTATTGCTAGTTTAGGATTTTAGATATGACTGTTTTAATACCGGTAGATCACCTTACTCTCAGGTATAATATATTAGTAGATAAAACCAGCTGATTGCATCATTAGTCATTGTGGGTTGAAAGAAATAAACCTGCAAATCTCATTTTAATCCATCAAATATTTTGTGCCAAAATTACAAAATTATTTAAACTAAACTACCTGCATTGATGTACACTTGACTAGAAAAGCAAATTTATTTTGGGAATAAATGCCTGGTGTCAAAGCTGTCTTTTAAAAGTTATAACATTTTTTTCTAGTTCAGGTGAGGTAATATGGTGAATTTCATATGGATCTGGCACACCAGGAATATATTTTTTGAAAACGTATTTTGCACCTTACAAAAATGTGTGTTGCATTCCTGATTTCCCTTGAGGAAGGTTCCTTTATGGTGATGATGGGCTCTGGATCTAAGGCATGGTACAGTGGAACCTCATATATTGGCCACTTTTTTGGACGAAATTCTATCCTGGATTTCTGCCGGCAACTCAGAAATTGGCCATACTGGACGCGTCCACCCGCCACACCGCATGCGTGAGTCAGTCTGGCTATGTCTCTCGGTGAGTGAGAGACACTCTGTGCAACACCTTCATCTGCAACAGCAACAGACCACAGCTGAGGAAATAGGTTCAGAGGAGGAGGAAGGGAGAGGGAAGACGGTGCCTTCTTCAGCAATTAAGGACATTTATGCAAAGTGGAGTGAGGTGCAGAGTTTTGTGGAGAAATATCACCCTGACCAAGCTGAAACAAGCCATATCTGCATCATGTTCAGTGACAAAACCTTGTCCCTCTTCAGGCAAATTTTTAAGAGACTCCAGAAACAGACCTCTCTGGACAGTTTTTTGTGAGACAGGGGTGCAGTGACTCAAGCTGGTCCTAGTGCCAGTAAAAGACTAAGAAGGGAAGTAACCCCAGATAGGGACTTGATACCTGAAGTCCTTATGGAGGAGGATTCCCCTTCCAAATAATAATCAGTCCTTCCTGTCTTCCATACGCCAACAAGAATCTGCAATAAAGGCAAATGTGATGCTAAATGTTTATTTATCCATTACATTAGTTATTTTATTTAGTTCTCATTGTTTTGTGCATGTAAAACTATAGTTAACCTTTAAAAAATGTATTTTTTTGTTAATATTTTTGCGTGTCTGGAACGAATTAATTGTATTTACATTAATTCTTAAGGGAAATATTACTTCGGTTTTTGGCCTTTTCGGATTTAGGCCAACCTTTTAGAACAGATTACGGCTGAAATTCGGGGTTCCACCGTACTTGTTTTTTGATTCCTTGAATCGATTTTGAATGCCTTCCATTTACTCAGGTGTTGTATGACCTCTACAAGTTTAGGGCTTTCCCAGGAATGTAAGAATAAGTATGTGTGTCTGATCTTGAGAACAAATTTCATTTAAACAAATACCTTATGAAATATGCTATGTGCCACAACTATGGGTGCACTACATACACTTGCTTATTATACAGCCCTCAAAAATTAATGAACAACTTTTGATAGGTTTAAGTACAAAGCAACCAAGTATGTTTTCAGGCACTGAGTATTTTATTCAGTAGCAGTAGTAGTAAATTTTTTGTCCTAATGGTTTATTCTTCTCTAGGTGGGACCTGACATGCCAAGCCTTGATGGAGATGGATCAGATGACCGAACTGAGGTAGTTAATATCTCCACATTATTGTTGTTTGCATATCTTATACAGTTTCTCTTGTTTGCCTAGATTCACTTTACAATTGATAGAGGTTATATATATATTTATTTGGACACTTAATATTAGTAATACTTTGACTACCAATTATACTTTAAAGAATGCATAGTGATGAGTTCAGTAAAAATGGAGTAGGTCATTAAATTTGATTATATAGACCTTTTAGAATATAGTATGTAATAGGTCATTGTTAGTTAAAGTAAGTTAGGAGTGGCCTTATTTGTACAAGTCTGAGTTAGAAATCACCATCAGTTTATAGCTTTGCATTTTCATTATCTAAGTTTTTTCATTATCCTGCCCAATCCAGTATAAGATGGGAATAGCTAACCTGTTTTATAGGTTTATTCTAAGTACAGTGCCTGCACTTTAAAGGAGGGGTTTAGGATATTGGCAGTTTGGAGGGACTTCTAAACTGCCGTATCTGAGCGCCTCTGCAAAGGCAGTGATTATGTATGAGTGATGGTGAAAGTGTTGAATGATGATGAAAGTTTTTTCTTTATTTTTGGGTCACCCTGCCTCGGTGGGGAAGGGGCGATGTGTTGAAAAAAATAAATGGCTTTAATTGTTGGGATGGCCTAAACCATGACCGAGCATTCTTGATTATGGTTCTCAAGAGTAAGATAACTGATAGAAATTTATTCTATAGGTTGGCGCATCTATGCCTTGCCTGGGAGATGTAGCAGAGGAAGACGAAGCAGGTGTTACCTCTGCCACCACAGATGGGGTAGACACAGAAGGTGTAGGTGATGAAGATGTAGACGAAGTTGCAGATGGCACTGCAGGAGAAGATACTGGGAAACGCCGCAGACAACCTTCACAGAAGATGATAGAGGCTATGGGCATGCTGAAGAGGAAAGTTCCAGAATCTCCCACTCAAGGTACAGTACATATTTGTAACAATGGGGATTGGAATGAGCTGAATCAGTACATCAGTTCAAAAATAGGCATGGTAGGGCTTAATCATGTAAGACACTCAAAAGTTAGTTTGTACCAACTGGTGGAGTTGACCTTTCCTTTACCCATCCCCCCACAAACACACAAGCAAATAAGGAGGGGGGTACATAGATTAAAAAATAAAATTCATATTTTTTGTTGCACCCCTTCAGTACTCATGCACATTTTGATTTCAGAGATAATGCATTGTTATGCTATATGAATTAAATGCAATACAAATGCAAATAAAAGCATATATATAAAAATGTGCATATATTTCTAACATAAATCTTTACTCTTTGCAGGTGGGAGAGGTAAAAAAATGAAAAACTAAATACTGCATCTTTTGTTTCTGCAGTGTTGTTTAGAGTAAGTTCAGGTTAGTAATCAGTATTAATTATATACCGTACTTTATGACAGGTTCTGAATCCCTTGGAAGGAGGGGTAGGGAATTAACAGATAGGAGTCATCTGAATTGTGATGTCAGTACACATCTGGTAAGACAGTGATTGAATGAATGAAGACGTTTCCTCTGCCTTAGTGGGAGATGACTGATGGGGTAAAAACATAATATACAGGAATATATAAATGCCTTTTAGGAGTTAAGAAGAGTTGGATGTGAGTGTGGGAGGAGGTGCATGAGGCATTGGGTAGAATGAAAGAGGGTAAAGCAGCTGGAACAGATGGGATGACAGAGATGTTAAAAGCAAGTGGGGATATAGGTTTGCAGTGGTTGGTACTTTTGTTCAGTAAATGTATGAAAGAGGGGAAGGTGCCTAGGGACTGGCAGTGAGCATGCATGGCTCTTTTATATACAGGAGCTTAGATTACTGTTTAGTATTGAAAAAACTTCTCTAGGCTTAAGTTGAGGCCTCTGAGTAAAGTGGGTGTGACTTGGACCTGCCTAGCATGGGCCAGAAGGCCTGCTCCAGTGCTCCTTCTTTCTCATGTTCTTGTATAACCTTTGGCCTCCAAGACACTGGGTAAAGTTTTGAGACCTACTTTCGAAAAAAAAAAATGGCATCTTCTATGCCATAAAATACAGTAGCTTACATGCGCATAGGTGATAGAAGGGGACATTCCACATATAAAGTGGGTTGTCTCTAACAATAAGTTGAAGTTTATTTTTTTGGAGTGAGCTATAAATACTAAAACTTCACTGTATTATCAGTGTGATAATGGAAAAATTCTATAATCATAGCAGAAATTCTCACTAAATGAAGGGCTTGAACTCGTAGTCAGTCAGTTTTAAAATAGGCCAGTGTGGTGCAGTGGATATGGCTTGCCATGGGTTCAAATCCTCATTCAATGAGTTGTTTACAATTGTATCATTATTACTTCACGAATGATGTCAGTAATGTTAAGGTATACAATGGACCTTCGACCAACGATATTAATCCGTTCCAGAGAGCTCATCGTTAGACGAAATTGTCATTAGTTGAATTAATTTTCCCCATAAGAAATAATGGAAATCAAATTAATCTGTTCAAGACACCCAAAAGTATGAAAAAAAAAATATTTTTACCACATGAAATATACATTTTCCTACACACAAACAGAAGGATAGATGCACAATACATGTATACATGTGTATATTGTATAATGAAGAATAAATGACACCTGGCCTTAAATTCACTCACATCACCACTAGTTGCAGGCATTTTTTTAATTAAATTGTCATGCAACTGCCTTGCCCTTTCACATATGATCGCTTGAGAGATGCTATCTCCTGATATCTGTTTTTCGTTTATTCACACCAGTAACAGTCTCCCAACATCTTCGAGTACTTGCGATCTGTGTTTCGAAAAGATACTTGCACCTCTTGCAACAACAGCTTCCTTGATTGCCTTTCTGTTGGCTAGATAAAGCGACGGTTGATTGGGATTTGTTATACAATCTGGCCAGCTCGGAGACACGCACTCCAGTTTCATACTTTGTGAGGATCTTCTTCATTTCAATTGTAATCCTTGCCCTTTTTACCACAGGGTTGGAACTAGAAGCTTTCTTGGGGCCCATGGTGGCTTATTTTGCAGTTACAAGCACTAAAAACGCTGGAATAATACAAAATGTACCGAATGTATGTGTGGATGCAACTGGACTGGCTTGTAAACACTGACACACTAACTGAAGGCAGGGCAGCTAAGGCACGCTCAGGCCAGACGGGACACGTGGACGCGTTCGGGATGAATCACGTTGGTCGGGCCAAAAATTTTACGCTCAAAAGCTTCGTTAGCCGAATTTATTGTTAGACGATGCCTTCGTTGGTCGGGGGTCCACTGTACTGCCTTCCTGGCTTTGCCTGAGTTATGTATTCTTTGAGAATGCAATGTGAGGCAAATTTACAGAGCGGATATGTATTATAGGATGTGCTTTCTAGACCCCTTACTTAGACCAACCTTTATTTTTTTTCCCTTAAACTTTTTTGTAGTGTAGGGTCACTGTTGAGACCCTTGATCCTGAACTCACTCTCAGTGTCAAAGAATTTTAAAAATAATAATTTTTCTTATGAAATGATAGAGAATCTTTTCCTGATGGTAATGACACCAAGAGTATGAAATTTGATGGGAAACTTAGGGAATTATGCTGTCATAAAGTTAGCGGTCTCGGCGATAGGTATACGATTTCACCTACTTGGAGCCCTATTTTCGGCCAATTCCATTTTTACAGTTTACCAAACTCATAGCTATATCTCTAGAACTCCATTTGTTCTATCGACTGAGTACAAGAAACCGCTCATTTATCGATTTCAGCTACCCAATAAAGTGGACAGATGGGCATTTTGGCCAATTTCACGCAAATTTCAAAAGATACCAATTTCAGAATAGGGTCCAGAATAAACAGTGCAGACATTCCTGGCACTAAAATAACATTTTCTCTATTCATTAGTCATGTCTCCAGGCCCCTCTTATATTACTCTTGCTTTCCATATTGAAATTTTATTCAGACAAAAAATAGATTTGCTGTTATGAAGATAACTGCATTATTATATAATTCTATAAATAATGTCAACCTATTCGTGAGTGTGTATTAGACTGGCCAGTTGGACGTGTATTGGACTCTTGAACATTGGCAAAACTCGAACATTTCTGCTACTTTGAGCTCAATTTCAAGGTACTTTTCATTGTGAAACCAATCAAAATCATCTCTTGTTTCTGTAATATACCGTATCTTCCATTCTATAAAATGAGATTTAAGAAAATGAGAATGCAACCATAAATACCATACGAAAATGCACCTCAAAGTGAGCATTTTAATCCTGCGTGCTGCAGGATTTTTTTTAATGCTGTGCACACTAACCGTGCAGACCCATTCTCTCACATGTTGGTCTACCAGCTTTCTCCTGCTAGATTTGAAGCTGCTAGAATTTTGGGTTATTAATACATCACCAACACTGGCTTGTAAGCTGTACCTATACGTCGCCGACAGTGAAAGGGTTAAATTAGGAAACCTTGCATGAAATAATTTTTAATTTATGTATAATTATGTCTTAAAGTTTTTTGTACCTTTTAATGAGTCTTGGCTATCTTTTTAACGAGCATTTAACTATCTTTTCTGTTCTGATATTCAACTACATGCATCCTTTTGGCCTTAATTTTTATTTTGTGTGTGGAAACTTGTTAGCCAGACTTGAGTCCTGGAGGTGGGAGGTACAATGCCTGCACTTTAAAGGAGGGGGTTTAGGATATTTGCTGTTTTGAGTGATATCTAAACTCTTGTATCTGCATGTGTCTGGCAAGACAGTGGTGGTGTGAACAATGATGAAAATGTTTCTGTTTTGGGTCACCCTGCCTCAGTGGGAGACAGCTGACGTGTAAAAAAAAAAAATTATTCTACCCAGCTATATTAGTTGGACTTAACAATAATACTCAACAGGGGATTGTTAAAATAATAAAAGCTAAAATTAAAGCTAAGAATAGTGTGACTGCATTATTAATGTTTTTCAACTCCCAGTTTCCACACTGAGTGAAGACATTTGCTTGCTGTATTGTTTTGAATGCACCTGTGTTCGTTCATGTGTACTAAGTATGATACAATACAGTAGTTGATTGTGTGTAAAGCCATTATTAGGAATTTCATAGTAAACAGTTTGCAAACAAGCAAATACACACAAAGGCAGGAAAGACAAGGCCAGGGAGACAGGTATTAGTAGATTTAATTGATATAGGTATTCATTTTACAGTATCACTAAATTATCACTTGTTTTTGCAGACTGTTGGGAAATCCTTGAAGGCAGCAGATGTGTATAGCACATGGATCTCACTTGTCATAGATTAACCAAAATTCCTTGAACTCTTGATCCTGTGTTATTAGAGCCTCTTTATTATATTGGATTTGTCTGTGTGCACCTTCCTTGTACAGTATTTCCTGTAAGTCATTTGTACATATTTGTTTAGCTCAAGATATGCTTAAAATTCCTGACATAAGTAAGCATGGCATATTTCAGCTATGAATAGATACCAAATATTTTTGTGTGTTTAATTTTTTTTTGAGTGGCATTTGTCACATAAATTACAAATACCCTTTTCTCTGGGTGTTAAAAGGTGTTTTGCTGCTGATATCTGAAAAAAAAAAAATATTTTCTGTCTTGTTTATCCCGCTGATACCAATCTCTTTTAAAACAAAACATCACTATCATGTTATCATTGTGTCATTAAGATTCATATCATTCATATTCAATATTGTCCTCTTGAGAAAAGGTTTTTTAATATATGAATAGTGTACGTGTCCAGTGAGCTTGTCAAGAATGTTCTGCCTAATGGCTCAGTTATTGCTGGGTGTACACCTAATGTTTAGTGATTTATTTCCCACCATTCTCTTAGGAAAGTAATACAATGCTGCTAGCCAGTTGATAGTTTAGATTAAATGGATGGGACCAGCTGCTTGATTCAGGCACTGTAATACTGCTACCTGACTACATTATATGCATTTTCATAAGAGGATATTAAAATGACTATATTTTGTCGCCTCTTTTTTTCCCTTTAATATTGTTTATTAAACATTATTGTGTATTGGAAAAATTTAGTTGTGCATTTTAATGCATTTCAAAAGTAATATTTCTTTAATGCTGGATGAGCACAAGATCAAGAGTTCTGTATCAGTTGACCTTTTTCTGCATTCAGTATAGGGTGGCGTGCTCGTGCGCACGCGCGCGCACGCGCGCGCACACACACACACACACACACACACACACACACACACACACACACACACACACACACCACACACACACACACACACACACACACACACACCACACAACCACACAGACCACAGACACACACACACAGACACACACACACAGACACACACACACAGACACACAGACACAGACACACACACACACACACACACACACACACACACACACACACACACACACACACATACATACATACATGGTGAGTACTACCTGTAGGATGGGTTTGGGGTTAATGAAAATATCAAACTAGCCAAATCATAAATTTTTTTAATTGACTCCACTTTTAAAAAACTGGTCCGTTAGTAATGCAGATTGGCATTTAGTGATGAATAATGCAGTTATGTAAGATATTTAGTTAAACTTCAGTTTTTTAAATCAAGGAATAAGATGTAAGAAATTGGATGTTGAAATTATGTGAAAGGAAATAAGAAAATACACTAAATTACAAAGAGTAGGATTTTTATATATAAAAGTTGTATTGTAAATGAAATAACATAAAATGTTTAGATAATCTAACTCTCAGCCATGCTTTCATCAGGAAGAATCACTTGTGAAATGTAACTCTTTATTAGTCGTGTCAGTAGTGAAGGCCAAATAATTTATAACCTTATTAAACCTTAATTTTCTCTTATTTTTCATTGTATAATTTTCAATATACAATTTTCAGTATATAATTTTCAATTTATAATTTTCAATATATAATTTTTCTCTGAAAACATTGTTTTTATTATATTTTCTTAACCATGTAGACTGTCTCCCAACAAAGTAGGGTGACCCGAAGAAGGAAATGCAGTCACCATCGTTTATTCAATAGCTGTCTTTACAGAAGTGCATGGACATCGCAGTTCAATGACCCTCCTTCAGTGAACTGGATTTAACTACTTCCTCAGCTGAAAACTTGTAATAAAGTCTGTAAGAACTATTGGATGGAAGTTAGTACAAAGATCAGCATTGCACTTTATACCTATTAGTAAAAAATTTTGATGCTCTACTATGTTTGCCAGCATTTACAGTTTCACAGCTAACCAAATAATAACTAGCTTTGGGATCAAAATGTTATATAATTGGTGTCATATTTTTGGAAAAATAGTAAAACAGGGCGATGTAGCAATAAACTTCAGAACGCCATCTTGTTGCTGTTAATGCAAAGGGAAATGTCAACTAGCATTAAATGGTTAAACAAGCATTTAAGTGTTCTATCTTCTGCAGATTTTATCCTAAAAAAAAAAAAAAAAAAAAAAAAGTGAAGAAAAGAACCGGCATAGAAAGTCAGGATAATTTTCCCCTGTATAAGCTACTTTGATATTACCAATTGTATATCAGTAGCACTGTCATTCATTGCAATTAAATGTCTTAAAATTTTGCAAAATAGTAAATTTTTTTAGATATAATGAAGTTGAGAGGAGAGATTTCCCTTTTCAGTGAAGTGCCATACTTAGCTTAACTTTTTTTTTTTAAAGAGGGGTGATGTCACAATTTCGAATTTACCAGGTTTGTAGCTTGGGATCGAGCAGTTATATATTCAAAGCAAATTATATATTCAAGCAGTTATATGACTTCAAAGCAGTCAGTTTGGGAATTCAAACACTAACAGCATTTCTATAGTTTCTAGAAACCTGAAAGCCCCTTTTATGGAATTGCTAGAAGTGTTCATGTAATATTTGCTTAAAGAGTGTGAACTCTGTATTTCTTCCAGTTCCTGGAATAAAAGTCACATAGAACTAGTAGTTGCAAGTCTTCCATTGCAACCAAATTTTCCCTTGTTTCATAAACTGAAAACTGATTATGGTTAGAATATATATTCAAAATATAAAAACAAAACTCATAGGAGGAGGGTGCATTAATGCTGGTGAAAGGTGTTGATTCAGTTAACTGGAGCTACCCTTCCCTTTCTCAAATCAAACCTGGCTACCCCTTATTCACCAGGTGCTGTATGACCCCTCTGGGGTTAGTGCTTCCTGACTTGAATTATAATAATCTTGTACATTCCCAGCCATAGGAATGCTGGTTAATTTGTTAAAATCAACATCCCAGGTGAAACAGAGAGACTCAAGTTGACTCCTTGGCTTAGTTATAGTTAAGATTCACACACCTGGGATCCATCTGAGCTCTAGTTGAAATTGCACAAGTATTCAAGATTTTAAGTATTTTCCACATCATTATGAATGTCATTCACAGTCATGAGTGAGATATTTTGAACCATGTTAAGATGCAGGTTTGCCAGGGAAGGAATAAATTGCATAGGTGCAGGCTCCTGGCCTTGTACTTGCCATAAGCGAGTACTGCCATGAGACCGGGGATGCTATAAATTTCTCACGTTGAGGTGTGTATGCACACTCAGGTGTGAGCAGCTCCAGTAGAGATTTTGTAAATGGGTAATGTTCCTAGTTATACAAGGCAATTCAAACACTTAAACTAGGAGTGATATTAATTAAACATAAAATTATGCTGCCATGGAGGCAAGCACATGCACACGCACACAAAACACACGTGCGTGCACACAAAAAACAACACACACACACTATGTACACACAACACGTACGCATACACACTGTGATTGTCAGGTAAGAGACTTAAGGATGGGGAAGACATTAGTGCAGTTCTTCAAGGATTGGTTTTAGAACCAGTAATGTTTCTGGTTTGTGAATGACATTCCAGATGGGATTTATTAAGTAATTCCCTGTTTGCTGATGTAGAGCTGATGAGAAAAACAGTTGAAGACAGGAAAAGGTTTCAAAGGATCTGGCTCCTGACTAATGTAGCTACAAGGAGAGGCTACTGAAATTGGACTTAACAATATTGGAGGACAGAACCAGAGGGAACATAACAATATACAAAACACTTTGGAAAATTCAGACATGTGATCTTAGATATATTATGTCTTCAGTTGCAGTGTGGTTGGGAAGTGGAATGATCTTATTGAGAAAGTGGTGATGGCAGGCTTCATACAGATTTTTAAGAGCAGGTATGATAGAGCTCATGAAGCTAGGAGGGTGTGAATCTGAAGAGTGGCAGGTTAAGAGATGGGGTCAGAATCTGAGAATCGACCTCTGCAACCACAAATAGGCGAGCATCAGTGTACCTACCTTCCTGCCCATCTGCTTATTCCTAACCTACCTTCCTCCTTCCCCTCTGACCTAATCTGACATACATTCATTTGTGTGTACTGTGGAGTCAAAATATATAATTTTTTTTTACTATATTGGGAAAATAAATTAAGTAAGGAGTACCAGTAGTCTCTCATTCTTATAGGTGACTATATCAACTAGGCCACCACTGAGTATCAGCATTCATGGCCCACAGTGGTTCCCCGTGGCTTGGTGGCTAAAGCTCTCGCTTCACACAGCGAGGGTCTGGGTTCGATTCCTGGCAAGGGTAGAAACATTGGGCATGTTTCTTTACTGGTTGTCTGTGTTCTTCATCAGTAGAATGGTACATGGGAGTTAGTCTTAACTGGTTTGGGTTGCATCCCTGGACAAGAAATGACCTAATTTGCCCGAAATGCTCTGCAAAACAAGTGGCTTTCTATGTACAGGTACCATCCAACTTACGACCAAGCTTGGTTTTGACCAATCGTAAGTCAAAATGGACGTAACTCGAACCTTACTACTGAATATCAACGTCACACTTTTGTAATGATTTTATTTTATTGTTTTATTTTGGTACAGTGGACCCTCGACATTCGATACTAACCCGTTCCTGAGAGCTATCGAATGTTGAAAATATGGAAAGTCGAATTAATTTTCCCATAAGAAATAATGGAAATCAAATTAATCGGTGCAAGACACCCAAAAGTATGAAAAAAATTTTTTTACCACATGAAATATTAAGTTTAATGCAATAGAATAATTACAATAACAATAGAATAATTAACACTTACCTTTAATGAAGATCTGGTGATGATTGATGGGATGGGATGAGGGGAGAGTGTGGATGGTGTTAGTGTTTAGAAGGGGAATCCCCTTCCATTAGGACTCGAACTGGCAGCCTCACCATGCCTTACCACACTGTGTATGCCACTACGATTCTTAAATCCTTCAAACCATCCTTTGCTGGCCTTAAATTCACTCACATCACCACTAGTTGCAGGCAATTTCTTTACCAAATCATCATGCACTCCGACACGCACTCCACTTTCGTACTTTGCAATTATCTCTTTCTTCATTTCAATAGTCATTAGCCCCTTTTTTCTCGAAGGGTTGGCACTAGAAGCTTTCTTGGGGCCTATGGTTACTTATTTTGCAGAAGCAAGCACCAAAAACAGTGATAATATGGATAATATGGAATGTACCGAATGTATCCTTAGATGCGCGCGCACTGGCTGGCTTGTAAACACTGGCACACATGGGGCAGTTCAGGCCACACGTGGACACATCTCGTACGAATCGTATCGAATGTCGATGCCATCGAATGTCGGGGGTCCACTGTATTTCATTTTTTACTTTTTATGCTGTTAGTACTGTATTTTATACAGTAAGGTTTAGGATAAACACTGTGTACAACACAAACAGTTGTTTATTTCCCAGAAATTTGGCAAAAAAAACATGGTCGAGTGGTCGTGTGTTGAGCAGGTCGTAAGTCGGATGGTAGGTGTAGTAGTATGTCATTGATGTAAGCTGGGCCTGTATTCTTTGTACATGTACTTGTAGAAATAAAGATATTTACAACTATTCGTCCTACCCACTCTAGAAATAATCCCATAATGAAGATAGAATGGAGAGAGAGGTGAGGGAAAGTAGCATTTCTGATCAAGAACCAGTTGAGATTTGTAGAAATGCTAATCGCTATGATTGGTTCTCATTGCAGTATATAAGTGGCTCAATTGTGAAAAACTGTAATCTTTCTGTCAGTTACAATCTGCCAACAAATAATGGAGGACTCGAATACTATTATGAAAAGAACATTGTTCGTTAGGGTTAAGGGGGCCTTGTTGGTGATGGGCTCCTCATCAAAGGAATTTGATCTCTTGAATCAAATCTATTCACCTCCCATTTCCCTGACTCTGTATGACTTTTGTTT